TCTCACAGCAGCGGCAGCCTGCGTGTCCTCCGCCCCGCACACACACACACACACACACACACACACACACACACCTGTCCTGTCACTCTTTGCTGCGCTGCACAGGAATGGTTTTGTCCTCGGCATTTGTTTAAACATGTCAGGCCAGAAACAAAGCGAGTCACTCAGCACTTGTGCTTAAAATACTAGATGGAAAAAATAACAACAATAATACTAATAATAATAATTGACGCTTTCAGGAAATAGACCGTGACCCATGCACTTTCCTTTTCCATTTTTTCGATTTTTTCAAAACTGCCCGTTCCTAAATCCACAATCCATAAATTATATCCATAATTTAATGTATAATACATTCTTTATAATTTTATGATATCTTCCAAATTTAAAATGTTTTTAAATGACAGTTTGTTTTGTTTGAACAGTTTCCTGACTGAAAGAAGATACTAATCAATTTGCATGCAAACACAACTTGAAAGGGGGAAAAAAATCATAATAAAAAAGAAGAAATAAAATAGGTTCTTTAGCTCCATCCATGTCTAATGAAATAATTTAATAGCCGTAATAAATCTCGTGTTATTGTTCATTTTACAAGGAAATAATTACATGAGAAAGTCACAGCTTCATTAATCATTGCTTATTATGTTTCAGTGTATTTGGAAGACAGTTTCATCAAATCAGGAGTCTTCAGTGTTGCAGAACTAGTGCGAGTGTCCAGAAGTGAGTATAGAGCTCTTATATTGCTTTTAATGTGTGTGTCTTTCTCTTATCACTGATCAGACGTGTGGTTATGTTAAACACGGGTGGAGCCAAGCTGGAGCTTTAGAGATATGTTGACAGTGTAACAGGTTTAACAAAGTTAATATCAAGGTCAAAAAGCTGACACTCTGTCGGTCTATTCACAGGCAACTGGGGTCTAATTAGTGAATAGAACTGAAGGTACGACGATTGAAAAGACTCGTGTGGGTGTGCGCAGGCTCTGTGTGTTAATGTGTTTTCATATGAAGAGAAAAAACAGATTTAAGAAAGACAAAACAAAACAAATAAAAGTGCCTTAACCCTCAACAGCCACTTAAAATTCTGTTTTCCTCATAATCTCTGTATTTACTGAAACCCACCACACAGCTGTAGTGTGGATAATCCAGTTTGGCTGGTCTGCTTTTGCGAGAAAAAGAGCACTTGAGTGCACAGCTGTCTGTATGAGCCTGCAATCATCTGTATAGACATGTCCGCCCCGCGCAGAGCTGTTAACCGTCGTCCCTCCAGGACTCCAATGATAACTGAGGGCACGTCAAGGCACCTTTTACCTGTGTTGCCTCTGAGCTGTAACTGTAGCGAATGCGCCTGTGGTGCACAAAGACCCCAGTCACCCTCAACAACGAGCGTTTTAAAGAAACATACCTCCATGTGTTGTCTGTATCTTGCGCCGCCTTCCAGCTAGTTTTAATCCGATGGTTAGTGTGGTGTGGAATAAGCAGGGATACTTACATAAATTAGGAAATATTTATTGTTGACTCATGGAGATCACTTATGAATTAAATATGTCACTTCCAGCTTCTCAATGAAATTTTTTGGGTTTTTGGAGTAGACAAAACAAACAATTTTAATATGTCAGCATGGACTTAGGAGGAGAGTAGGAGAAAATAATTGTATATAGTTTAAGTATGTCTTTATATTTGGAAAAAATCTCACTGCAATGCTAACAACAAATGCTGATTAAATCTGAATTTTTTGGTAGTTTATGTAGTGCATAGCACGTCTCTGATGGAAGCGTGAGCCACTTTGTCTCAGCTGTCTCGTTCATTGTGCTGTGAAAGACAGGACCTACTTGTTTCCATGCTCGCACACTGAATATCCTTTTGAAAGACTCTGTGTTTTTGTTTAGTGTTTAATGTGCCCCCTGACCAGATGGCCTCTGAGCTGCCATGTTTGCTCTCATGTGACCGAGCCTGGTTTCACTAAAGCCGACTGAAGTCGCGCTGGAATTTTAAAAAGGTCGACGGACGCACAGGAATTGTCACTCACTCAGCCAGTCGCTCCCTGGGAAGATATCTAAGCAGCCGCTCGTCCGTCATCGCGCTTCTCTCCCAACTCTCCAGGCCGTTGAGACATTCTTTGAAGTCCATGAAAGGGGGGCTGCGGAGTTCAAGGCTGATTTGCAGTCCTGCATTTCGCCGAGGACGCTCATTATTTGCAACAGGAGCCTCGACTGCAAGTGTAACAATATTTTGTCAACAGAAAATGTGGGCGTGCACGGGCAACTGTTGAGCGAATTTACTCAAAGTAAATCCTCTCCTGCAGCTGATTCAGAATCATTGTCTATTTAATGTTTTTGTTTTGGGGTGGTTTTCACGCCTAAATGTCCAAGCCCAGATTATCAAATGAGATGACTGGCAGGGTGGCCAAGTGGCATCGTCAACAAATATTGTGCTGAGCCAAGAGCTATAAAGAGAAACCAGCACACAGAGAAATCGTCGGGAATGTTCAAAGCTATGAATGAGAAAATTTAAAAAAACAGACAAAATAAAAACAATGGTCTCATCTTAAGCGTTCGCGGGCCGGGTGCATTCCTCCACAGACAGCTCGGTATGGGTAGCAGCGGGTAGGGGCCTTTGCCAGGGCTACAGCGGGCTGCCAGGGTGGAGGCTGGCGGAGGGATAGGCCAGTGGTGAACCTCAGACCACAACAGACGGCGCCACACACTCCATCCTCTCATCCACTCCAAACCAACCAACCGCTCGAGCTGCAGGCTGCCTTGCGGGCCACACACTGAAGAGAGATAAAGTGAGAGGCAGAGGAAAAAGAGAGCGGGAGAGAGCGAAGCTGGGTGGTGAACCTCTTTTGTTCTGTAAACACAGGCCTGGCCCCCACTGAAACAATATCCCTCACCTTGACCGCAGTGAGAAAAACAACACCTTTTCCACTGTAAATCATTATGTGAGGAAACTGCCAAGTTTTGCGCCCGATGATAAAGAAGCGAAGGAAATGCTGGCGATTGTGAACGTTTGCCGCGAGTTTCTTTAGAAGCAATCCGAAGGCATCGTTTTAACTTTCACAAGAGGCATTTAATGCAAAGAGAAAAACATTTCACTCTTTAATTTGTTGTAAAGCCAAATAGAAATCTAGCCAAATAAAAATAACTCTCCTGTTCTAAACACACAAGCCGATGAAGCCGTTGTGCATCTAATTGTGCGAAAGATGGTGCTGACATTGATTTCCTTTTCTCTGTGTCCTTTGCAGTGCCCATTACCCACGGTGCAACAGTAAACTTCTCCATGGCGGACATGCCCAGCCAACCTTACTATCATGACCTGAACTCCAGCGTGGGGCTGCATCGCCCCCTGTCCTCCCCTCCTGGCAGGTCAGTGGAAGTTACGGCAACAGATAGTTTCAGGATAAGAGCTATTTGGAGATAAAAGTGCTGCTGCAGTTCTGCTGCAGCATCAGAGTGACTTTGCTTTCTTATCTGATCATTTTAAACACAAAAATATCTTATTAAATTTAAGGGAAGTGCACTGACTTCTTCCGAGATACTGTTTTGTATATATTTTTGCCAAAATGAACCACAAATGAAACAAAGATGATGACAAATGTGCCTACCGCATTATACTACATTTGTTTAGTCAGTATAAAGCTGCATCCCTCTGCTTTCCATCTTTATGCTAAGCTAAGCTAAACATCTCCAGCCCTTAGCTTTAGAGTTAGCACACTAACAGGAGAGTGACATCAGTCTTCCCATCTAGCTATTGGCAACAGAGCAAACAAGGGTGTTTCCCAAAATATTGGACTCTTCCTTTTAACTAAGCTTGTACATAATGCCGGTTAATCTTTGTCAAACATCTTCTCCAACTGCCCCTAAATCAGTATTGACACCATCTTGCGTTCTCGAAAGTTGCGGTCCCCCAAACTACTGTCTGCATCAAACCGTAAACTTCTCCATGTGTGCAGCAAAAGGCCCAAAACCGTCAACATGGAGGAGAACATGGACACCAGCCCGACGGGACCCGACTTCTACTCGTCACCCAGCCCGCCAAACAGTCAGGCAAACTGGCGCGACAGAGACGGAGGTGAGTCTTTCCCAGTATCGTTCTCCTTCTAATTTACATGGTTGCACAAACATACAGAGTGCTCGGCTCACGGTTGCACAAGAGCATGTGGAGATAATTTGCAGAGGGATGAGAAGATCTTGTGTCCTTGCATGCAAATAGATCTGATCAAAGTGAACACCTAGCATTGTTTTGCAACAGCAGCTGAACTCTCTTAAACTCTCAGCCTTGTCATAACCTACTGTGCATCAATGCTGCTCACCCCACTGAAAATACATACCATGGCAGATATAGCCTTGGGCATCAACAGTCATTATAAATACGTACATTTGTTTGGAGTTGCTGGTTGAATACAAATCTTTGTTCTCTCGCACCTGTCGCTTGTATAAAGGAAGTAGCGTAGAGTGTTGGCTCAACTGCTTTGAAGTGAATTATTATCTGTATGCAACAGCTCCCTGGAATTTCCTTCTAAGTTTGTGTTTACGCGGCGCTTTCTTTTTCATAAACCTCATCCGGTTTAGATCTGTAGTGAGTTATGGACAAAAAGCCAATCAGTGGACTTTTGATGATCGAGTTTAATGCACAGAAGGGAAAGAACTCGTAATAAGCGAATGCATGGGGCTCACATTATAAGGAAGTAGATAAAGATGTGTGTTTCCGTCCGAGAGAGAGTGAGATCTTCACAGGGCCGCTTGCACGTCTTATTTCGCCGTCTCCCGGTGCAGAGCAGAGCCCGTCGCCCTTTTAATTAAGGCCTCGCTTTCCCACGTTTCCAGATCATTCTCACTCTCTGCTGACTTCCTTCAACACTCCGATGCCCACACTTCATCTGGATTTAACCAAGTGAGGCAGTAGTAAACATTTTGTTTGAACGTGATGAACGGTATCATTGAAAGTAAAGCACATCTCTTCCCCCCTGTTGCGGCTTCTAGCTTCGGTCTGAACTTTGAACACTTCTCTTTCGGTTTGCTCAACTATTTTAATATAATAAGTAGGAAGGCTGAGTGGGGAAAAACACCACATGATACACAGGAGGCGCAGCACTGGTGGGATTCAGCCACAGCCCAATGTGGCTGCATGAAATTTCAGCGTGTCCCTGTGCACAAGGCCTGAGAGTATGGCTCTGTGTAAACTTAGACACTTGGGGTGAGGAGAAAGGGAAAGCAGTGGGTAGGAAACTCTCCAAAGACAGCCATTACTCTGTCAAGAGAGAATAAATGAGAAGTGGGGTGATATTAAACCCATATGAGTCATACCAAGTGCCAAGCAATTATTTTGTCCACATGGTTGCTGTTTGACAAAACCTCACCATGTAGTGGAAGAAATAGTTTCTTTCTTGTGTTGTGCTCTGGTTAAAGTACTGTACATTTTCACATTTGTCTCCTTTTTTTGCATTACGGTGTCATATTTACCCCCTTTAATACAAAATATATTGTTTCCAAAGGACGGCCAATCCGCTCTAACTGCAAGGACACTTTGGACCTTTTTATTTAAACTATTTAAAGTGTTTAACGTCTGTTAATTAATTGTCCAGTTTAATTTCTTGGGACAGTCTCTGAAGCAGTTAATTAGCAGAAGAGAGGAGATGCTGAATACTTCTTCTGAAGAAAATATTTCCCTTTTTTTTTTTCTTTTTTTTACTGGAAACATTAGGCAGCGATATAAATCTTCTCCAAGGTATTTCTTCCTCTGACACAAAATGAAAGCACTTAAGCCTGTATCCTCTTGCAACCTCAGACTGGGAAATCCCCCTGAATTCCAGCCACCTTTGTCGCTCTCTCCTCTGGTGATGAGCGATTTTTCCCGTCACTTGGGTGGATCCTTCCCTGTTGTTAGGAAAAGGGAGGGAAGGACGGTTAACGCTACAGACACGTCTGAACAAATGGGGTTTACACAGCTTCTTTCTTTCTTTCTTTCTTTCTTTTTTTTTTTTTGGAGGATGGGGGGGAAAGAGATGAATGATGTGAAAGTTATACACCGCAAGAATCTGTGACAGACCAGAAAAGCACTTGATGAATGTTCATAGAAGAAGCACAAGCAGACATAAGCCACTGCCTTTCGGATCTATTTGTTATCACGTTCCCTTCAGACACTGCGTCTTACCATGGAAAATTGAAAACTGCGCAGCCGTGACAGCAGAACATTGCTCACGAAAGTGTAGAGCAGCAATAATGAGCGACTCGTAAGTTGAGTTTGTGCACCTACTTTGACTTCATAGAACTACACGAATTGCCTAAACAAATTCCGTGTCTTGTGCTGAGCCTCCAGGATTATTCATGGGGAATTACGATGGCTTGTCAAACAGTGTGTGAGGCCAAACAAAGCAGATGTAACACTGTAATATTCTATTTAAGATTACGTGAGGGTCTTGAGATTCCTTAAATCCTATTTGAGCGACCAGCTGCTTTCCGACTGCGTGTCACTTCACTGGATTTAATTGTCTTCTCAGACATGACAGAAGACACATTTTTTATTTCTAGCGGATGTCCGGTGGTTTATAATGATTCCAGAGATTATATGTGATTTTGACCCTTGGGGATGTCTGCAATTTGCAGAGTCCATTTTTCATCTGCGAGTTACATTTGCTGGCGAAAGGGAGGGGGGAGGAAAAGAAACGGTCCCCTGATCGCACTAATCCCAAGCAGATCAAATTCTGCTTAATTTCAACTGTAATTCATTTTTGGCATTCAGCTCCTTTCATTCATGAGAAATGGAAGAATTAGTACAAGCTACGGGGAAATCTTTGATTAATTTTCAACAAAAAAAATTAAAAAATCTGCAAAAGAAAATATTTAAAAGTTCATTTTTTTCCATTAGGGAAGTCATTTCATGTCAGGGAAGTTGGGAGAAACTTTTTTTTACTTGAGTCCCATGACTGTAACCTGAAAGAAGCTCAACTTTCGAACTTTTGAGCAATAATCAAAAAGGCTCGCTAACGTTTTCTGAGTGCAGATTGATTCACGTGTTCGTGTGCCCTTCCCTACCAGCAGACATGTCCTCTCCTACGATGAAGAAGCCAGAGAAGCCGCTGTTCAGCCCGACCTCTCCGCAGGACTCCTCACCACGACTCAGCACTTTCCCTCAGCCTCATCACCCAGGCCTAACAAGTGTAGGACACAGTGGTGAGTTCCAAATGCTGACTCTCTTCTTTAACGTTTGACTTCATTCCCTGCCTAAACACAGTCAAAGGCTCATACTCTCTCCGCTCCTTTGTCTGCGTGTCTTGCAGTTATATCGGCGAGGAGCCCCCCTCCACACTCGCCGCTGCAGTTCTCGGCCTCGGCTATCTTGCCCCCGACGGCGTCGTCCTACTTCTCGCACCCCACCATCCGCTACCCGCCTCATCTCAACCCTGCTGATTCCCTCAAGAGCTACGTGCCGTCATATGACCCGTCCAGCCCGCAGAGCAGCCAGGTCAGACTTTTTTTGTCTTTTCGTTTTTCCCCCGTGTTTTCAAAAGGCTGTAAGCCAGATCTTCAGCCAGAAGTCGTAGGGTTGTTTGGCACAACTTTCACGGCCTCTAGTCGTTCTTTGTTATATTATTGGGCTCCGTTTCCATCCGACAGATTAAAGATGAGAACGAATGTATGAATTACAGCATTTGTTTGTCTGTATTTCAGCATTACTGCCTCATTAGTGCTTTTTGCATCAGGGAAGATTATTTTTTCCTGCTCTAAATATCTTTATATTACAAACCTCAAACTGCACTTTTTATACACTTAGGATGACTAAATTTGATGGACTCCTGCCTCCCTCCCACTTTTTGAGGGGATAGAATATTGGAAAAAAGACAAAACTACACTTAAAATTAATGAATTTAGTGTAAATCACATGATATCAGTGGAGAAAGTACTGATTTTTTTTTTTTTGTTGCCACTTCATGTGACAGAAAAAGCATATATATATTCTGCTTGATATAGAGCTCACACCAAAGGTTATGGCACATTCCCAGCCTTATATTTGTTTTTTGTTTTTTGTTTTTAAATCAACTGCATGACTCTATTAAAAAATAAAAAATACTGGACAAACTATTGCAATTGCAGTCACACATGACAAACAATACTGCACGGAGACGTGGCAGTAAATCAAATAGCTCTGGGCTTTTCTATATTCAGGGTACACACTGCGGCCAGTGTGTTGGAGAGAGCTAGCAGGCGTCTCTATAGATGAGAGAGCCGTGTGATATTTATGTGAGTTTTATATCCCCGCTGTTCTAACTGTAAACAAAGGCCTCGTAGACGGCTCCATCTCCAGAGCAGGGAGCGGGCTGGAAGTGTGGGGAGGTGGGGAGGAGAGAGGGTTACTCCAGAGAAAAACCGCGGGGAATGATAAAGGTTGTAAATATTTGCCGTTGCCGGGACCCGGCTCTTGTGCAGAATTAACTGGCCCTCTGCTGGGGTGCTGGAAAGTTGGGGGGGGGTGACTTGGCTAGCGAGGTGGGCTCCGGTAGGGAAAAGAGAGCGCAAGAAGACTGAGGTGAGGGGGGTAGCGAAGGTTGGGGGGGCACAGCAAATAACACAGCGCTTATAATCCCATGGACGAGTGCCAGAATGTTTTTATGCTTGCTTTAATGCAGATTATATTACACTCTAATTAAACATTCTATTCACATGGAAGGGAACCCTGCGGACACAATTCTTTTCCAAAAAGGCCTGTTTGAGTTTTGAACTTGGGGCGGCCCCGAAATGAACGCCCCAGACAGTCTCCAGCCGTCTGAAAGAGTAGCTCCCACTAGCTTCCTTTATTTCCTTCTCCATATATATAGTCCCACTGCTTTTCTTTCTATACTGGCACATTCACGCCATTGTAACAGGTCACTCCACAGCTCTCTCTCCGTCTTTTCATGCCCGGGTCCCCCTAAATTCCATTTATGAGCGCCATTAAAATCATTGTTTAGAATCATGTAGGAATTACATTGTCATTGACTGAAGATCTATTGTTGCTCATGCCCCCCAGAGTTTTGGTAATAACTGTGACAGGACAGCGGCTGAAAGTACTAAAATCCTTTCTTCAGGCGGAGCATTAAGTGTGAGAGTCAGTGGTCCAGCAATCTTTTGTTGTTAAGTGTAAGTTTCTCAGGGCAAACAGAGGCGGTTACGTCCCGTTCCCCCTCCTCCCCCGAAAAGGAGGGAAATGACGCCATGATAGGATGTTCAGCCTCTTTAGTGTTCAGTTTGTTGCATGCTTGTCTTGGTTTATTGAGATCTACCCCTCTGCAGATTAACAAGGGAGCAAACGCTTGTAAGCTCAAGTCACTGGACACAGTCTGTCGTTTTATAAGGTGACACGTTTTTGGTGGCGGGCAAAGCAAATGCGGTTCTTACATGTGGATGTTTAGGGGGGAAAACAGATTTTCTTTGCTTTTTGTGTTAATTCAGATGCATTATTTCAGTATGATCCTGGTTTCTATTACTCCTACTGAATTATGTTTCAAATAAAAGAGAAGTGAAAGATTTTAGGTGGTGTTTTTACAAGAACATGCAGCTCGTGTTTGCTGTGACACTTATTTCAAGTATTAAAAAAAATAAAGTGCATAATTGTGTTGTTGTTGTGTTTTTTTTATATCATCTGTACCCCACCTGCAGCCTAACAGCAGTGGTCAGGTTGTTGGAAAGGTCCCAGGCCACTTCACCCCAGTTTTGGCTCCCTCCCCACACCACGGCGCTGTGCGACCTGTCTCGCTTTCCATGCCAGACACCAAGCCCATCACCACATCAACAGAAGGTGAGCTCCAGTACCTGCTGCCCACTACTGACACACAGTACCTACAGTACAGCAAATACAGCACTTCCTCACAGTGTAGTAGCTCACGCTAGAAACACACTGGATTGTGTTTTTTAATGTAGTGTATAGTCTGTGCTCTAAATTTGCATATTTTCAATTTGCATCGCACTTAAGGTGGAAAGTCATTTCTAAGGGCAGCACTGATCTAATTATTTCTATTAGAATAAAATAACCCTTGAAGAGTAAGTGAACATGAGAGTGACACAAAGCTAGTTAGCAGTTTGTCTGTTTCAATCACTCAGTATCAGTATTCTGGTAACCATGCCAACTGGATGGGCGGGAGTATGCTTGTCAGTGTAGCCAGGTGAAACCATAAACCACTAGTGGGGGACAAAAAGATTTTAGGCTGTGTCTGACAGTAGAAGCAAACGATAAAAAGAATCAGAGTGGTCCCAGCATTGAATCTTGCGGAACCCCTGCAGGCAGTTTTCACTATATGTTTATAGTTTAGAGTATCAGTGGAATTTAACAATGTTACTATGGTTACAGCAGTCAATTCCATGTAAATTCCCGACATCTAAATTTGAATCCAGACACTTATTCCTGTTTTTGTTTTGTTTTTTTGTGATGCTATGCTACCCAGGCTACTCATCGCCTGGCACGCCAACAGCTAATCGTTTTGTGAGCCTAAACCCTAGAGATCCCACCTTCCTGCACCAGCAACAGGTGAGGTTTCACCCCCTTCAGCACTCAGCTCACCTGTTCATCTTATCCTTTCACCCCTTCCCACGTCTCCACCCATTTTATCAAATCCCTGCTCTCTACAAAATCCAGAAACACACTGCTACTGACTTCTAGGGAGCAGTAAATGATCCCTTTAGATTAGAGCACTTCAGAAGTTCAGATTAAACGACAGATAAGTTGAGGTCAACCGTAGCCGTGGATGCTGGCATAAAAAATTAGCAATGCTTTCTTTTATTTATTTGTTTGTTTGTTTGTTCAAACCACAATTGAACCTTTGATATGCAAGCATAATATTTTCACTTTGGAATTGAGAAGCTTAAATTAACAGCTTAAATTATGCCCATTTTAAACTATCATTTTGAGTGAGTGTGCTTGAATTTAAATTCCACACTTGAGGAAAAAGAGACCTTAAGAAAGGTGAAGGGTCATTGCCATTAGAAGCTGGATGGTACACATGGATGCTTTTGAGAGTGAAATGTGTTTTTGTTTCCTCTACACGTACTTTAGAAGCTCTCACACGCATACCACACGTAGTCAGCACACTCATTTACCTCATTTACCGTACACGTGCTAAATATGTAGCGTTGGCGTCGGGTGGTTGCTTCAGGACTGGCTACAGGATGTCCTGGGATAGATGTGTGTGTCTCTCTGTGTGTGGGGGTGTGCGTATGTGCGAGGTTAGAACTGTTGCGGTGTTGTCGGACGAGAGAGGGAGAGTGCTCTCCCCTACCCAGTCTTATTGAAAGCGCTGTTCTGAGCCAAGGCTTTTCCAACCACAACTAATTGAATGCATCTGCACACAGCTACATAATGATCGCTGGGTTTCTCCTCAGCTCACTTTTTTTATGTTTAGTTTGAAAAAAAAAAAAAGACAAAGCTGGCCTCTGTTTCCTCACTTCTCTTTCTGTCTTTCCTTTTCTCTCTGCCTTTTTCACTTGAATTTCCTAAAATCAGGGCAAAAACCCCCCCAAAAAAACACAGGGGGGAATATTTGTCAGCAGTCGTGGGATGCTTTTATCCCACTCGGGAGGAGAGGGAGGAGGAGAGGGAGGATTCACTTGGCTGATGTCGCACAGTTTGTCTTCCACATTTCTAGTAGCCCTGCTACTTCTTTCAGTGGGGCACAAAGTGACTACACAAGACAGCGGCAGTCTGAGAGTAGCTGCATGAACTGCTGAATTTTGTCCAAGCCGTGGCTCCCCGAGGCTACAAAGCCTTTCTGTTTCAGATTTTGAAATCAGCCAGATATATAAAGATCCCCTCAGTAAGGACTGTTGGCACTTAAAATAAAGAAATATAGTCAAAGATTTAATTACTAGTTTTATTAGTTAATGACAGTTATGTTTTGGTGGCATAATTCTGTGATTTTATTGCACTGACAAGTCAAAAGATGAATTATTTTGGGCCTTACATATTCCCTTAGATTTGGTTTGGGAAGCATTTTATCAAAAAGACAGTAGCTTAGAAATGTAGAAGAATGAGAGCCTTGTAAGCATAACAATGATACCTTTCTGAAAGGTTACATGCTATATCGCCAAGAATAAATGTTTGTGTCGGCTTAAGGAAGTCTAAACAGTCCTCGCATTGATTCATCATGCTTCTGCTTGTCGCAGTTGTTTTTGTTTTCTGTGGTATGATTTAGCGGCCTAGGATCTGGCCCCGTGGAGCGGAGAGAGACACCGAGCCAAGTCCCTCAGGACTAAACACTTTCACCGAATGCTCAGTCATTGTCCTCATCTGGCAATGATGCGTATTGTGTGGGGGGTCCATAAGACTTTACTGACGATGTCAGTTGTTTGGTTGTAGCCGTTTCTGGCTAAGCTCGGTAGGGACGAGGACGAGAAGGAACGGGAAAGAGACAGTCAAGGTTTTTAAATGCGGTCAATCTTGTGTCTGGACCGTGGAGGTTCAGTCTCTGTCTGTATGTGTGATTGATAGAGGCCGTGACTTCCATTGAATCTGTTTCGCATTTCCTTGCTGCTGCCAGAGATATTAAATAAAATAAACCAAAAGCAGAGGGCTCTGATGGAACGACAGTTTTTGGAATACCCAAGTTTCCTGATCATCATCGAATTACAAATTATTGTTAAATTTATATCTCATTGCTATAAAAAAAAGCATGTCTCCTGTGATAACTTGCTAATAAATTTAAAAAGGATGCCTATTTTAAAATGTCGCACCACCGAAATAGAGATCCTCGGACACAGACACACTAATACTAGGCTTCAAAATGAAAACACAACACAAACCACCACCACCACACGCTCTCACACCTGCTCTACGATTCCCAGGCAATGAATGTGTGAAAACCCTCCATTCATCTCTCGCCTTGGTTAACCCCTCGAGGGAATGCCACCATCTAGCATTCCGCAGGGAAAGATCCGTGATCAGATGTCATTTGGTATTATCTAAGGAAGGATTCTAATCCACAATCTGCCCGCATCTGTTTGCTAACGTTCCCCGGCTCCTTCCCCTTTTTTCCCCGCTGCCCGTGCGACTCTGATGTGTCGGTGCCAGCGGACAGATGGCGAGCCCCTCGAGGAGCGGTGGCACCGAGCGTCTGGCCCAACCCGCGCATTCTCTCCAAGCTTTTGTCAGGCTGGAGAGTGCGGGAACAGCGTGGGGGTTTGGTCTCCCAGCATTTGATAAATACTGAGAAAACACACTGAATGAAACAAGTTTGCGTTGTTTCCTATTCAGTTTTATTAATCAGCCGCTCAAAGCAACTCATCAAGTGAAACCGATACATTAAATTGAAACCAAATGACTGTTATTGCGTCACCGTTGCTTAAAATGAATTCCCTTTGCTGGTTGTTTCTTGCCATTACTTCACATTTGTTCCAGGAAAGATGAAGGAACACAACGCAAACATCCCTCAATTTAAGTATGGCTTAAGTAGGAAACCATCAGCCCCCACCCCACCCCTCCCTCCCGATGTGTTCATCCAGGTGCTCGGAGAAAAAAGAACACATTTCTTGACCGTTGCAAATGGCTCTGAATATTCAGCGTATGCGTATATCTGATTAAATCCCTCTTAAGAGCCTCTGCAAAACGTCTGCCACTGCACGAGGAGTGCTAACAGTGCAGTTTTATCCCGATGCATTACTAAATGAATGTGTTGACCACAGGGCAAGGTTAGGTTGGTATTGGCAGAGATAGCTCTCAGCTGGATTGCCGACACGTGCGCTCGCATAATGCATGCAAAGGAGACACAGTTTGTGCGTGGCTTTTTTTTGTTGCAGTAATTTGTAATCTGTATGTCAGGTTGGCATGTCTTAAAACAGGGGAGAAGGGGTTAGTGTGCGCGTTGGCGCGTGCGTGTATTTGTGTGTGTGTGGGCGAGTGCTGTAACTTCATTGTAATTGCGACCCTTAATCAATAAAAACAGTTAGCTAATGAAAAAAGTCTGCATGCTTGAGGGCATGCGTCCTGAATCTGAAAGTGCACTTAGAGTGAAGCAATCATTATGGACAGGGTGCATGCATCCAGTGGATTGCATGGCTTCATTGGTTTACCAGGTAAAATGAAATAAATAAACAAACAAGATAAAACAGTAGAGACTGCTCACAGATGAACTTCCTGTATGATGCCACTCACATTTTCTAACTAACTAACTTCGTTTTGTTTTTTGTTTTGCTTCCAGGTTAGCTGTTTCCACTAACTGTAATGCATGCTTTTTATTTTCTGTCTGTTTCACCTGTAGCTGTTATTTTATCTCAATAAGTATTAAAAACACTGACTCAGTTTTCATTCTTAGGATTCATTTTGGAGCCTTTTTTAAAAAAAAATCTATTTTTTATTTCCCGTGCTCCTGTCCTAGGCTCTTTTGCATGCATGTGTGTATACAGTGTTGAGTTGTAGTGTAATCTGAAGTGGAAGTTGTCTTGGCCCAGTGATCTGACTGCTAGGTTTCAATTGACAGCTGAGGAAGTGTGACTGGAGCGTGACTCAAAACGGCAGGCATTATGGCCCCAGTGCCACTGACGACACTTTGGGGATTACTTGGCAAAGGTAACCTTTTCATTCTTTCATGCCGTCTCTCTCTGTCTCTCTTTCAGCACATGCACAAACACACAACATATAAGCATTGAAATGAGTAACTCAGTATAATGTATGATTTCCTTGATTGTCTCCTCTTTACGTTCACATATAAACGCAATTACGGGGCCAGTAGCCGTGGCTGTTATTGCTGCAGATGTTGACCTTTTTCGAGATGAGGTCATGCCTTTGATAAAACACACGTTTCCTTGTGTCTCCCTCATGTTTTCTTTCCCCCGCCCCCTTTCTGTTGCTTCATCTCCTTTTCCATGCCTTAATAGTTTTATACATTTCCCAGTAACTTCTTCTTGTTTTGCACTTGAGAATTCGATTAGCAGCGGAGTCCCTTCATTCTGTTTTCCCCAGAACCGACTTTTGTAAATGCACACGAACACAAACCACGAGAGGAGAAGGTCATATTTTCTTTTCATATCTGTTGGAAAGCGATAAATACAAATACCAATATTATATTTCGCTGCATAACGACAACTCTTGCAGTGTGATTCAGCTTTTGAAATAAAGCCTTTCTTCCTCTTGGATTCATTCTTAATAAAAACAACAAAATAATGCTTTGATGTAACTAATTTGACAAAGCATGTGGAAAATTTAAAAAAGGAAGTCATTTCAGGTCAGATTGTTAGCCATGTGCGGTTAAGTTGCTCGCTGTATTTAAACAAGCTTAGCTTTGTTTAACTTTGTGCTCAAGTAATGCTTTACTCTCTGTAACTTAAAGTTACAGACCCCCCACCTTCCACACACACACACACACACACACACACACACACACACACACACACACCCCTCCTCCCTCGCTTCCATACTGTATCTCTCCCTCTCTGGGGGAAAACCTGAACCATTTCACCATGCTAGAGCGAGCAAGCTGAGCTAAGCCTTTTCCTGTTACGTCTCCCCTTTCCCCTTTTCCCTGGATATGTACAGTGTGTGGGTGTGTGTGTGAGTGTGTGTGTGTGTGGGTGTACAGGTCATTTTGCGCTCGCTGAAGTTACAAATGTTTTTACAAACACAAACGCACACAGCAGAACCCCCTTCGAAAGGCCTCCTAATGGGCCAGTAGAGATAGCAGAGAAAAATGTCCCCCGCTGCAAGCCTGAGGTCTCTTTTTCCACTCGCACTCCAGCTCACTCCTCCTCCTTTCGCCATGTGACTCGTACAGTAATAAGAAAAGATAGAATAGATCCCGACTGGATTCAGTTTAGTTATTGCGAGGATGGGGACGGTAATTCTATTACACTTTTTTTTCCCTCTTTGATGGATTATTTACGCCCAATCGTTCAACATACAGATGAGATCAGTTTGATTTCTCCTTTATCTTGCTCGCCCCTTTAAATGGGGCGCTTCGCTAGGCCTCTTCAGTACTAGCCCTCAAATTAAAAAGCTGCCAGACTCGCATGTTGCTATTGTGCAGGAAATGGGTCAGCAATCCATTAAGATGCCATTAGATAATCTAATTTAGGGAGCTAATCCTTAAACGAAGCACGCTGTATGGCCAGGCTGTGCTCGCGGGGAGTAGAATTAGTGAGGTTTGGGAGCCGGACAGTGCAGGGGGAGGCCATCTTGAAGGTTACCTAAGGAAACGCGGCGATGGAGGTCAGGTCTTTTAGCCGTGCTCAGAGCTGCTCGTGTGGAGACAAAATCTAGAGGAGCTGCACTGATGCCGGTTAAGATTGCAACAACAACAAATAGCTTCAAATAAAATGTTTGTCTTTATGTTATGTCTTTTTAATTATTTAAAAGCTACAGGGGACAAAATGCCTGAACATCTAACTTCCTGTGAATGGGGCCCTTAGTTCCTGCACAAGTTCAGTCATACTAATGAGGCAACTGATCCCCACACACACACACACACCCTAATGCATGCACAGACACTGATGCAGAGTTATTCTGTACTGCAAAACAAAAAACCTACTTATAGGATGCAGGTGCGGACAGGCAGCCAGTTTAAAACTGATCTGTGCAAAAAAAAAAGTGCATTTTTGTAGCTGTTTGACCCCCCGCACACACCTACTAAACAATGTAAGTCATTACCTGAGAGGCGTTTCATAAGAAAAGCGAAACATTGCGAGATAAAAGAAGGGAAGGAAGGAAGAAAGAAAAGGAGAGCGCTGCAGTCCTTGGCCGCTCTGTGCGCTCTTTGTTCAGAAAGGTAGGAAAAACTTAATCCCCCGTTTCCTGTCCGATGATTTTTGGCAGAGTGAAAGAGAGAAGGAGGGAGGGAAGAGGATAGAACGAGGACGGGCTGGACGGTAAAAAAAAACTGCTAGAGAGGATTAGCCTTGAAGTCTTTTTTTAACACTTTGCGCACTGAAACGCAACCTAAAACTTGAGTGATGTTTGCTTTTGTTTTGAATGCGTCTCCTCGGCTCTTGTGTTTTCTGTCTTTCACTCTTTATTAGCGAGTCGGGCCTCTCGGGCCGTGAGGTGAATTGAATTTGCACTTCCATTGTTTTAAGTAAAAGAGCGGTGACTGGTGATTTGTAAAAAATGCAGACTGGTTGATGAGTTGCTTTTATGAGCCCAGACAGTGTTGTTCTAATACTGAAGTTTCACAAAGAGTCGAGTCTCTGCACAGGAGCATCATCAGACTCGAGGCTTGTCTTGTGTTTTGTTTCATGTGAAGAAAACCCCCAAAAAACAAAACCTCCTTGTCCCCTTTTCCCATCTAAGCCTGCTTTCCTTTTCTTTCCTTTTTTCTGCATTTTCCCTTCACTCCTGCGTTCCTCACTTTTATCTGTTTCCTGCTCTTTTTTTCCATCCATCACGTTTCAGCTGCTGCAACAGCGTGCTGATGCTTCGTATGCGTGCATCGGTTATTGGTGAAAAGTGTAACACAGGTATTTTCATACTTAGCGGGAGTGATACGAGAGGTGGGAGGGGGTTAGATGAGTGCACACTGGGGCCCTGCGGGGAAGAAAAGAGCAAGGGGGGGCTAATTATCTGACATCTACGTTGCGCAGCACCCCTCGGGAACAACATGCTGTTTGTTCCCGCTCGCGTTTTCAGTTAGCACCGTTGCTCCCCAGGAACAATCACTGTGTTGTTTTGCCATTAGCGTGAGATGAATAGGGATGGAACAGCTTTGTGTAGGGACCCCCACACTTTTTACCCACAACCACTCCTCCTTCACCGCCGCCGCCACTACCAATCGCGCTCCTCCCCCCCCCCAACGCGCTTTTCTCCACCGCCGTTAATGCACAGAAGAGCGGCTGCGTCACGGCCCTCTCACACGATGTCCTTCACTGGGAATCAAGTGGGATCCCCTCAGCTTAGTTTAACGAGCTTTTTTTTTGTTTATCTGCGTTTGAACAAACCAACAGCGAGACCACGAACCTCAATGACAGCAGAGCTGGTCATTAGCGAAGCAGCGTTCAGGATAACTGGGTGAAAGAATCAGATTTTGACTGCAAACGGCACAGGAGTAATCTCTTTGTCTCTCTCTGTGTCTCTCTGTCTCCACAGTCCTGGTACCTGGGCGAGCTTAGTTCCATTCCAAGTGTCGAACGGGACTCCGATTCTGCCAACAAATGTCCACCAGAACTACAGCATAAACATCATTGGTGAGCCCCTGGTCCCCGCCGAGACAGGGAACTGATCACACAGAGGCCGGATGACCCCCAGGGTGGATAGATGGGTGGGGGCGTTGGTAGTGCGGAGCTAGCACTACAGGTGTCCACAGTCATGGATGAAACCAGCAAAGCAGCAAGCGCTGCATAACCCTCTCTACTATCCCCCCCCAACCCTCATCCCAGCCCCTCCTTGTTCCCTCCCCACTCCCGTCCCTCCCAATGATGGACACTGGCCCTGAAGTGAAGATGAGGGTTCGTTCAGAGGAAAGAAGAAAAAAAAAAAAACCAAGAAGCTTCAGGTCTGCTGTCTCCTCACCCCGGCCCACACACACACAAACACACACACCTACCACCCACCAGTCAGTTGTTGTGTGTTGCAGAACTTTGCAATCCATTCAGATACTGTGATGTATAGATGCCTTAATGTTTTATTGCATGACACTCTAGTCTCTTAGCGGCGATTCCTATTATTTTTCCATGTTGGAGGAAGATGTAAAATCTAGATTTACAAACACACCCACACACACACGCATAAGTGAGGGGGTCTGCATATTTGACAACCTCTGCCTGGTGGATGGCTCAGAGACTCTAAGCTCTCCAACTGAGACCTCTTGAGAAGAGGCTTTCCCGCATCAAACGATTCACTGTGTGCACCATAGGAACAAAAACTTGTGAATTCAGAGTGTTTCTTCTTCCATTTGATTTCAGTTTACTGTGATACGACTCTTTGTTCAGAAAAATGTGTTGACTTTGTTTATTCTTTACTGCTACTTACTTCATGAATTAATGTAAACACTTAGGCCCCTTTCAGACATGGCTTCACGGGTTTGTCAAAGCGATTAAGACACCGGTAACTCTTACGTGAACGCTCCTCACGGCAGCGCCGCAGACAGCCTCGGTATGTGCAAAAGGCTTGCTGCATTTGTGGCCGCAAGATGTGCCCGGCGATATTTAATTCTCTTCGCCGCCACAGACCCTGTTCACAGGAGACATTTCCACATGACAGGATGATGGCTCAGTTTTCATTAAGTGTCCCAGTAAGTCATGGCAAGCTGGTCAGTGAGCAAGCAAACGCAACAGCAGGACTTCCCCGACCTTTTTACTTGGTCTGAGCCAGCAGCATCTCTGAGATGGGCACAGGATGTTCTTCAGTGGCAACGCTGGACGCCAAAAGCAAACCCTCCTGGCTGAAAGGGCAACAAAGTCTGCACAAGTTAGGATGGGTGCTGGTGGGGTAAACTGCCATCATCTGGAGCGTCATCCAACATCCAGACAGATAGCAGTTCCTGTCCTGTGGGACATGTTTTGGCTAAAAACCGCACCAGTTCACAGCTTTCCAATTGAAAAGTGATGGTTAAGAGGTTACCTAGAGCGTTAAGTGGTGACACCAGTGGGTCGTCACAGAACATCTGCATGTTGCACCCTTTCCTGCTTTGATATGTTAAAATATCTGCTGTGAAAACAGTGAAAACGCCCTCTTCTGTACGGTAAACTTGTGCATGCCTGTCCGTCAGTACGACTGAGACCTGCGCCGTGTCGAAAGCTGCCCGTAAATGTTAAGATGCTGTCAGATTAATGGAGAGGAGTGCATGTCTGAAAGGGGCTTTATGGGTAAAGGTTGAGAACTCTAAATGCAGTTTTCAAAACAACACTAAATGCTAGGCTTGAGATTGGACCCCTCACGAAAGAATTAGCATCTCCTTTAAAAAAAGGAATATAAAAAAAAAAAAAAAATGCGACAGAGGCAAGTGCAATTGAATTTTTGAAGGGAAGCTATCAGTCTGTCAGCCCTAAGACTCTAAAGGAAGGGGGATAAATATGAAATGTTTTATGGGTAAAATGTTTGAGAAACATCTGAATTTGATTTCAGTCACGATATCCGTCTCCTCGCGTGGAAAAAAGTAAAAAAAAATTAAGTAAAAACATTAAGTAGGAAAGGCAGTTGAAGGCGAGCATTAAAGCTACCTGTGCAGCGCTGAGCAAAACCAGCACTTATTTTGAGCCCTTCCCATCATTATGGGGAGATTTTTTTTTTTTATTTATTTCAGAAAAATCGTAAGTAACGAAAACGAGATGCACATAGTGCGCATAAATGTTCACGATGAGATCAAGAGCATACGCATTTGGCCAACAGCTTCTAAAGCTTATGTTTACGGAAAAAAAGAAAATAAGAAGTGTTAATTCATGGGAAAATTTGTATTATTCATGCAAATGTAGCGTGGGCTTATGGGTAAAGCTACAGTTTGTGCAAGGTTAACTCTAAAGTGGAAGAGGTTGAAAGCTGAAATTCCGAATCCAGGTGGTGGCAAATCCCCGAAATCAAGAATTGCGCGTGGCGTGTTCACGGCCATTGCCTCTCCAGTCCAGACATATTTATATACGAGGAAAAAAAAAATCTCTCCAGTACTCTTAATTTGCACGATGACATATAGTCCACATTACGTGCCTTGCCTTTGAATATAGAGACATCACTACACTTGTTTTTTGCTGCATTTATCATTATAGAAAAAAAAAATTAACATTTTTATGATAAGAATTGTTTTGTACTCTGAATGAAATTGTTGATTTTTAACTTCATGTACTACTCTATGTCACAGTTACATTGCATATCAAGGCTGTGTATAGTTGCCGTTTTAAAGTTTGTAATCAACCAGCATTTTTTTGTTTGTTTGTTTGTTTGTTTTCAGTATTTTGGTGGTTTTTCTAATAACCTGTCATCTTTTGTTTTCCTTTTTTTTTTTTTTTTTTTTTTTCTCAATGCTCATTTTGTTCATCTTCCAGTTACTATTGTGGAGGGTGGAATTCAGAATTATGAAAATTATGCAATACCAAGTTTTGCCTATGTAGGTAGTGCTTATAGATGCGTCAATTATTAGAGGCTAGTTTGGAGATAGATAATATTGTAATGCATTTATTTTGTTGATATCGTTGTTTGTCGTTGTTGTTGTTGATGATGTTGTTGTTGTTGTTGTTGTTGTGGGTGTTTTTTTCTTTTCCTTTTTTATCGACCAAAGTGGGGACTGCTTTCTATGCAGTGTGAGACAAGGTCTTTTTTTTCTCCTTTTTTTCTTTCTTTAGCTTGTAGGCCTACCGAATGACGGTGAGACAAGTTCCCGTGTATTATGAATTTGGGAGATTTGGGAGGAGGGGTGGTATTTTTCTAGAAGTACTTATCTTAAAATGATGCACCCTTGGGCTTGCTGCGGCTGCAAAGTCACTGATTGGTCTACTGTGACTCTTACTTTCAACTTTCCACCTGGGGTGCTAGCGTGTGACCTTGAAGGAGCTCTTCTTTCTTCTTCTTCCACTGGAGAGACAGCTTGACTTGAGCGCGACAATCATTTGAAGAAATCATTTTTGCGTAGAATCCCGTTCTGTCTCGGCTCCCCGAGAGCCGCAGCCGATAGCGTCGCGCGCGTTTTTCCGAATCTTTACGCCGTGCTATTCTAGATGTCGCCTAATGCAATTCCCAAGTAGATGCCTTAAACACATCAGTGAAGTGGCCTGTGACTGCGCAACAATCACACACCGACTAATGCTAGTGAGACCTGTTGAAATCAGTTCCAGACAGGCTCAAGCAAGCCTTTAGAAAGTATTTTATAAGTAGTAGATTTGTATAAATGTATATACGATATGCACATATGTCAATTCCTGAGACGCTTCCCTAGCAGAAGCCCCGTAGAGTATGTTAAAGGAAATATTGGACTGCAGGAGTGTGGTGTCTTCTAACTTCCTGTCCAAATGCCCCCAGTAGAAGCTTAAATAGAATCCACTAGGAGAAAAAAATCTAGCACTTAAATAGCACATAGGCAATCATCTCCCCCACCCCCCCCCATCCTCGTCCTACAGTGTTCAGAAGTCAAACTAAACCTCTCAGGCGTATTACAGGGCATTATTTATATCAATCGATACCTTGCCATTTTTATTGTAAAAAAAAAATTCTCGCAGAAAGCTGCAGCGCAGCCAGTGCTGCTATGACACCTTTTGCACTCTTTCCCTGCAATCGTGAAAGAAACGTTTTCCTTCGGAGAGTTCCCC